AAAAAAAAAAAAGAATAAAACAAGATAAAAGAAGAAAGAAAGGTGGAACAATTTAGCGACAAGAGAAAGCTATTCCACCATCGAGCATGGCCTCGGTGGCAGCATGGCTGCCATTCGCCCGTGCAGCGGCGATTGGTTGGGTGCCGATCGCGACACATCCACTGCCACCGCCGCCGATTCCAAAGGATCGTCGCAAAGCCGACGACGAGAAGCTGTTGATAAACGTGAGCGGTCGTCGCTTCGAGACTTGGCGGAACACCCTCGAGAAGTATCCGGACACTCTTCTCGGTTCGAACGAGCGCGAGTTCTTTTACGACGAGGAGAGCAAAGAGTACTTCTTCGACCGTGATCCAGACATTTTCCGTCACATTCTCAACTACTACAGAACCGGTAAGCTTCACTATCCGAAGCACGAATGCCTGACGAGCTACGACGAGGAGTTGGCGTTCTTCGGTATACTTCCGGACGTGATCGGCGACTGTTGCTACGAAGACTATCGCGATCGGAAACGGGAGAACGCGGAACGTTTGATGGACGACAAGCTGAGCGAGAATGGCGATCAGAATCTTCAACAACTGCTGGACATCAGGCAAAAGATGTGGAGGGCGTTCCAGAATCCACACATCTCGACGGCGGCTTTGGTGTTCTACTACGTGACCGGTTTCTTCATCGCCGTGAGCGTGCTGGCGAACGTGGTCGAGACCGTGCCGTGCGGTAATCGTCCGGGACGCGCCGGTACGCTTTCATGCGGCGAACGTTACAAGATCGTCTTCTTCTGCCTGGACACTGCGTGCGTCATGATATTCACCGCGGAGTATCTGTTGAGGCTGTTCGCGGCGCCGAGCCGGTGCAAGTTCGCGCGATCGGTCATGTCCATCATCGACGTGGTCGCCATACTCCCGTACTACATTGGTCTCGGTATCACCGACAACGACGACGTATCCGGTGCTTTCGTTACGCTGCGCGTCTTCCGTGTGTTCCGGATCTTCAAGTTCTCCAGACACTCGCAAGGTCTCAGGATCCTCGGTTACACCCTGAAGTCCTGCGCGTCAGAACTCGGTTTCCTCGTCTTCTCCCTGGCCATGGCCATCATCATATTCGCCACGGTGATGTTCTACGCGGAGAAGAACGTCGACGGGACGAACTTCACCTCGATTCCTGCCGCATTCTGGTACACCATCGTTACGATGACTACCTTAGGGTGAGTTGTATACATGTTTCTCTTACGTTTAATCTAGCGTGTCTTAGTTGACGAAAGTAATTTACTCGTTTATCCTGTAACGACTTAACCTCACGTGACCGGCGATAATTCACGTTCATTTTTCGTTGTCGAACTTGTACGATTCGATTAGAAAATTAGTAATTTATATAGTCGGTGTTTATCCAACGATATCTCTTCCCTTTGACAAAGAAGCAGCATATCTCGTAGCCCTGGCTAGATATACGTGTCGAATGAAACAGAAGTAACGGGTGCATCTGTGAAAGTAATTGGCTCCGTGTAAACCGCCCGAAGCTGGAACAAGCACCGGTCTCCAGTGATATTTTTAAACAGAGGTCGTTGTCGACCTTTTTACCTCGAAGGGCCTCGCTGCTTTCTCTAAATATCCGCAGCATAGTAGAAGCACCGTCCTCGAATACCCCCACTGACAATATCTTATATACTTCGCTCTCGTGCTTCACCGCTTTTCGTTTCCATCGTAAACTCGTCTCTCTTCGACCTTTCAGATCCTTTCAATTCCCTTGTTTGCCAATTGTTTCTTAATTACTCTGCGAAAGAAGTTGATTTTCTATCGCGAATTCAATTCCCCTTTATGTTCGCTTCGGTCTTCCAGAGACGTGTTTCATTTTATGATAATTCTTAGCTGACATCGTTCGACATTGGAGACTACGAAGCGTTCAGATTTTCAATCGTTTACTCGTGGAATTAATAGTAATACGAATTTTCTCGGTACAAATGGAGCGAATTTCGTCGTCCCTCGCTGTCGAAAATAATAATAATAATAATAAGGGGAGCATGATGATAGTAGGGGCAATGGAAAGACACGGTCTGTCCGTTCTTCAGACAACGTCTTGTCTCTGTCTTCCTCTGTTTCTACCCGTAACGTACGAAACGAAATCTATGTATTTTCATTTCGTTCTCGCAATGGACAGCTGACAATCAGCGTGGTCTTAGTCGCGCAGCCGGTGGTCTGGTTTAGATGGTCGTGTCATTGGCGCGCCAGAGGCCAAATTCGTGTTCACGTCGTACGTCCAATGCGAAATGCTTCCGGTTGATCACCCGGTTTCCCTCGGTTTTCATTTATCGTCATCCAATCGGAAATTTTTAGGAGACGTGTAAAACGGTCGAAATTAGAACGGTAAATTTCGGAGACTTCTTTATTATTTGCAAACGAACGGTGTCGGTCCGATCGTTTCAAAAAGTCACTGCGCCTCCTTCTCGGTTCTTTTCACGATCATGCTGACAGCATGCTGACATGTAGTCTCCTGCTGGGTTATGAAGTTTTCAAGGTATCGAATCGGCTAGGAATAGTTGATAGATTTGATAACGCGATTCAGAATATCCGCGTGGAATCGTTCTGTGGCGAGCTCGAGCGAAAAACGACAGTTTGTCGATTGATTAAATAACTTTTCTGATCGAAGAATGTGCGACGTTCATTATGCAGATGGAAGAATATATGAGATTCATTAAGAGATAATTACAATTCCGTTATTCGCAATGCAATCGTTCAGACACGCGCGTTTTACCCAATGGAATTATACGTATATTACATCTTCCTCGTTCATTATCGTTATTTAGACTGCTTCCTGTCTGTCTTTTCCTTCATTCGTCGTTTCATTCTTCTCTCTCTCTCTCTCTCTCTCTCGTGTATTCATTTACGTATCACAGAACGCTACCTTTGACATAGTGCACCGTTAAATTGTTTCGCGCTTTCGAATATAACGCCACCGCTAACAGAAATCGATCAAAATTTAGGTGCGAATCTGCGGTCTCGAATTTTCAACGTTCGCGATATTCGAGGGAAAGCATGCGTATTTGTGACTGACCTTTTCTTTTTTGTTTTCAATTCACTAAAGAACTAAAAGCGCAAAAATTTGTTATATTTTTAGCGTGAAAAAGTTTGAAAATATACGTAGAGATTGCAAGAAAAATTCATTTCTCAGAGTGCACAAGGATATTTAAATATTTATTAAATATTAAATATTATCTAGAATATTAACAAGTTTCAATATTTAATAACACTTATATTAAACTTGCAACTCAGCCTATGGATCAATTTGTATCTTCTATATATATATATATATATATATTTTCAGATTAGTTTCTTTTGCCGATATAATAAAGGCTTCTAGTATTAATAATTAAATTGTGAAAATATTTATGTCTCGACACACACGATAGATATGAAAGTTTTCTTTAGATTTGAAGTTTCATTTAAACGAGGGTTGAACATTGAGTATATTGGAACGATGCTCTCATCGTGAGCTCCGTTTTCAAGTGAACAGGTATACCGATCGCCAAAAAAAAAAAAAAAAAAAAATGTTCGCCTTCGAGTGCTGCGTTGTTATTTGTTACACTCCGTTTATCTTTTCAACGTTTCCGATAAAGCGTGAAAAAGGCGTACGTGCTGACAAAAATTACTGGAGCATCGCGAGGGGAAGAACACAATGGCACTGTTCTTACTCCAAATATTTTTCGGTTTAAATAAACTAAACGACTACGTCTTGGGGAAACGAGGACGTCACGAGGGAACGTGGAAACAATCGACGAAACGATGGCGAGAAAAGAATTTGATCTGTCACGATATATAGCTGTTAAAAATTGTTTGAAAGTGATACCTCGGTTTGAATATAAATTCGAGTTCGATGTATTCGGTTATTTGAATTCGAACGTTCGAATCGGAATAAAAAATTCACGTGGATGTATAATCGTCGATTAAAGGGAGATAACCGGCGGATTGTCGATGTATATTCATCGCGAACGGATAGGAAAATCCCGTCCCCTTTCGGCTGATTGTGTCAGCTAACCACCAGCTAGTTTTTTTTCTTGTGTCAGCAGCAATCGCCTTTCAGTTCGCGTGTCCAGGCTAGTCCAGGTCGGTTCCTTCAAACTTTAACGAGAAGGATCAACAGGTGCCTCGAGGATTTCTCTAGCAGTCTTCTAACGCGATACTTTTCAAATCTATTCTAGAAGGCTAGATAAATATGTATAACTGTCGCGTCGAAATTTCTATCACGATCGGACGATCGTATCGTATAATTTTCATGGCCATTAACCAACAGGATGTACCATTGTTCCGACGATCGACGAATGCTTTTCGTCTCAACTAGGAACCTACGTAAATTTTTGATTATGCGCCAGAGTAATTTCCTTCGTTTGTACAAGGGAATGCTTACCAGTTGACGGAGGGGTGGAAATATCCAACCCCCATGATTTCCCATGAATTTCCATTTTCGATATTAATTCACGTTTCTGGAATGTAGTTCGGCTCTTTGCATCATACTATTCACCCGGCTTTGGCTTTTCAAGCTCGCTTTCGAACGGAATCTGGCATCGCTGTTCGAGTTCCATTACCGTGGTATGTTAATTAAGTTTTCCACGTTATCATGGACAAAGTTGCCTCGCTTGTACGGCAACTAGTAGTCCTGTAGTCTTTTTCAAAAAATATTAATAAAATTCGTAATCTAAATAACGCCAGTGTCCCTTTCACTCTTTCGATGCAGCTTCTGCCTCTCTTCTGTGGGGATTTTTGTTCTTTTCGTATCACAACACATTTAGGATCTTCTGCATCGCGAAACGAACAAGTCTTCCCGGAGAAAAATCTCGTTTCATACGTTTTTCTGCTCGACGTGTGTTCCATTTCTTTTTCTCTTTTTTTTCTGGAGGGAAGTCGGTAACAGGATGAACGCGGTGGCCGTATCGCGAAGAAAATAAAAAGAAACGCGGACCGTGGAAGCTGTAGCTTCCCCCTTTTACCCCGGCTTGTCAATTTTCTCCGCGTCTCGTCTCCTCCGTCATTGTTTCCTTTCCTGAATCAACGAGATCTTCTCTTTCGCCTGGCATCTCTCGCGCGGTCGAAAATTCGCCGGG